CATTTTAGTTCCTAACATTCTACTGTATCTATTTCTGACAGATCTCAAAGTTCTGCTCCCATGACTTTGGAACTTCTCTTCCACATTGACTCACCTAACATTCTCACATAAATGATAAACCAACTAACTTTCGAAAATACATTGCCTAATTATGTCACAGTTACATAGTTCGTTATCGATACTTACGTATGTTCTTGCACATGTGGCTAAAGTATTACATGCTCATATTTGAGTGAATGATCTAATCTTTTTTTTTAATGCCAAGGCCTAAATCCATCATGAGAAAGGACCACTAAACATTTTAAAGAAACTACGAACGAAGTTGTAATCGATTTGTAGAAAAGAAACCTTAAAATGATGTTTTTATAACAAGATAAAATATCATGAACCTAACAGTAACATCAAAAGAGTATAAACCCTAGTCCCTACCAAATAAACCTCTGGACACCATCCTCATGGCTCCATTTGAAAGGTCTATACAAGAACATTGCCATTGTAAACACATTAATACAGACGAATATCGTTCCAATGAGAAGCCAAGTTGCGCAAGCGTTGCTTCTGACACAGGAGTGAAGCATGAAGAGGTAAAACGGAATGGTGTAATATCTGAACTCGATCAATGGCGTAGGAACAAGAACGCCGCATGTAGCTAAGAAATAGACCAAGACCCAGATCTTCCTTCGAGTTTTCGCTATTGGATTGAGAAAGAACCAAGTCAAGTTCGCTACTATGCAAACAAAAAAAGGGAAACGAAACATCATAATACACAAAATGGTTTTAGCATATACCTAATAAAGTTAGGATTGAGAACCAGGAATATACGTATACCGGGACTAACAGGTACTTCATCAACCAATGAGCGTTGATAATTTTCCTCCAAAGATAGAAGGGATAGTGGCGATTATCGGCGAGAAGATACGGATGAGCCAAGCTGCAAAATATTTTCAGAAAACAAAGAGAATAAGAGTTTGTAGTAGAAGAGCTTAAGGTGGTTTTGGGAGGTATCAAGAAACCGAACCTGAAAAAGTGTACAGAGGCCAATCCGGCTAGTAGAGCCACAAGAGTTGGTAGAAAGCTTAAGGGCCAATATCTATGTAGCTTTTGGAACTGATTTCTCAGTTGATCTACTGACAAGTGTAAGGGAGCGGTGAAAAGAACAGAGACGAGGCTAAAATACATTATCTGCGCAAAATGCGGTGAAACTACATGAGCCTCTTTTGCACCTGTGATTTTGAATTGATGGATTAGTAAAAAGACAATAGACAAGAAAATAAGAAACCTGACAAGAAAATAAGAAAACTGAATCGACATACCGAGGACCACACCGCCGTTCCAAAGGATAAAAATACCAAATCCCACCACAACGACGATAAAAGGGCTGAATTTGACCAAAATCTCCCACTTCATAGTCCAAGATGTTGAGATTACGGCAAAAATTTCATAGACCAAGCCTGCATTTATAACCTTAAGATATCGTAAGAGACGATGAGCATTTATGCTTGTGCGTGAGAAACATGAAAAATTTGTCAAACTATTTAACAAAAAACGTAAAACAACCTGAAGTATCCTCTGTTGAAGAAATCATTTTACCGAGGTTTAAACGGTATCTAGAATCCGAGCTGCTATCAGATTTTCTTTTTCTAAGATTTGATCTCAGAGTTTCTCCTTTCCTATCAACGGGCTGATGCAAATCTTGATTTACTTCTTGTTTTTCTTTTTGCCTCGACGAGTCAAGAGTGAAGTCTATAATACCTGAGCAAGCAACGAAAAGCATCCAGACTACATTTGTTTGTCGGACAAAAACTGCTAAAGTGCCAAACTGCAATGACAAAACCGACATAAATTTGCCTACATAATTGTAAATCTTACAGTAAAAGCAACAAATTTTCTTCAAATGACTTTACCAATGCACTGAGCATGAATCTTTTTCTCAAACAAGCGAGGTACATGGCAAGAACCGCGGTTAGAGACGCAACATCTGTATAATACAGGAAAGTGAAGAACCAATGGAGAGGGTAAAGCGACATGACTAACGCCATTAAAGTTGCTTTTCTATCACTGAGATTTGGCCCCAAGAATCTGATTATCTCATACACTAGAACTCCACACAATACGGCAAAAACGCAATTCGTAGAACGCAGGACAGACGTAGAACAAGCTCCTGCAAATGACTTAGTATTTTCCATCAACAACATTCCTGGAAACAAAGTAGCAACATGTGCTAGTGAAAGATAGTACCT